CTAATTATTTTCATAACAGAACATAAGTTTATTTCATAATCCTCCATGCAGTATTCCACGGCCTCCTGTGTAGGGCTGCTCCACATATCAACTTTCATTTTCAGCCAATACATACAACTAAATGCAACACCCTTAAAAAAAATAAACCCCTAAGCACAAAGAGTAGAACATACAACGAAACAAGGCTTTGAGAATTAACACAGCTATGGCAGACTTTGTGCAGATCCTCCTCAACCAATCTCAGATAAAAAAAGATTGCTACAGAGCGGAGCTCGGCAGCTCACAGAAGCGCTGGGGAGTGAAGCCACTTGAAAGACCACCTGACTTGAAAGCACAGCAGCATCCACACACACATAAGGGACGCACTGGTGTCAGTTGGTTACACTGACATCACTGAATGCTGGTCGTTACTGCTGTAAAAAAAAACAAAACAAAACACAAAACAACCACGTAAAAAAAGTCCTACTGTTTTCATAAGGGAATTTCTGCATTAACTATGCCGTGTAATCTTCAATGCAAAGTAAGATTTACCATTTTTAACCTCTATTTATCAGCTGCAACTGCACACATTAAGCAGCGCTCACAAAATGGAATTTCGAGTTTTACATTCTCAGCCGAACGTAAACAACTGCCTGAAGGGGTGTTCCAGGATCACCGTCAGTCTACCCGACGCGTTTTTTCCTGCTACAGAAGAACCGCGTTACCGAGCACGCAGGCGGCTCCCTGGGAGCAGGGGCAGAGGCCGCGCGGGGAGGAGGCGGCCCGGCGGAGCCACGCCATTGCCCGTAACCGGAACGGAGAGGCCGCGGGCGGCCCGGGCCCAACTCCGCTTCCCCGCGACGCCGGGCCGAGCTCGGGCGCCCATCGCCGCTCTCGCCTGGCGCTCTCAGGGCCCCATCGCAGCGCCGCAGAGAACGGAGTGACCGCGACCGCCGCCCCACCTCCGGGACTGGAAGGAAGAGCGGCGGCGGCACCGAGGCCGGCCCCGCGCGGCGCGGCGCTCGCCCGGCGGCTCTGCGTGCGGGGCGGAGCGGCAGGGCCGCCCGCAAAAACCCTCCGCGACCCCACCGCCCGGCAGCGTGCAGGACGCGGGCGGCCCGCCCCCTCACGGCCGGGCCGGGCCCGGCGCTCGGGCCTACTTGCTCCCCAGCGGCGCAGCGGCCGCCGGCAGCCTCAGCCGACCGCCGCTTGAGCGCCGCGCCCCGCACTCACCAGGTGGCTGCTGGTGCTCGCCATGGGCCCCGCCCGGCCGGCCGGCGCGGCCCGCGCTCCAGTCGCCCTTTAAGAGCCCGGCGCACGGCCGCCCAGCCCGAGCCAATGGGGCTCTCGCATCCTCCGTCCGTGACGTCACCCACAACAATGCCCCCCCCGCTGTGGGCGGGACTTCCGTCCAACCCGCAAATTTCACCGGTCTCGCTACCTGCCACTCACGCTCAAGCTCGCACGGAGCGCCTCCCATCAGCCTCAGCGCACGTTCAGTGTGAGCATGCGCAGTCGTTGTGGGGATGCTGCCGGCTTCACTTCCTGTTGGGCTGAGGGCGGTGGGGCGCGCGGCCTTTCCAGCTTCCGTCTTGCGCTCACATCCGGGTTTTCTCCCTGACGTAGAGGCGCCGTGGGAGTGGCGTAGTGACGCCCGGAGGCCGGGTGGTTCCTACGGAACGCCGTGGCGTCACGGCGCGCGGTGCTGCCTGCTGTCCCGGTAGCGCTTGGTGCCTCATCTCGTGAACTTCCGCTGAGGCTGTCAAGTCCTTGTGCCAGCTACAGACCCGAGTGTGTAACAGATGCAGTTTCCCTGGAGGCATTCTTAAAAATCTGCCTTTTCAGGAATAATAATAATTTAAAAAAAAAGGCCAGTGTCTGGCGCTCCTTATGTCTGAGTACACTGAATCCGGCATAAAGTTTTTGTTAGAAGGCTTGCGTTTGAGATCTCAGAACAAAATAATTTTTATCCCGCATCATAAATGCACTCAAAAAGCACACATCAACATCTTTAACTACTGTATGGTATAAGTAAAGAGAATTTGTTCTTTTAGGTAAGTCTGTAGGAAACACGTCCCCAGATTTGCTTCCCAAGCTGTGTTCTCAAGCACTTGAAGTGTATTTGCTCACAGGAGTTGGTCGGATCCAGCCTGAAGCACTGACTCACATCACAAATGCTGAGGGTGTATGGGGTTGTTGTTCAGGTATGCTTACAAGGTGGTATGACGCCTTGTAAGAGCAATTTTAATTCATCAGGAGATTATTGAATTTTAAGGAACTGCTCGAAAGGGTAATGCAGGGAAGGGCCACATTGTTTAGTGAGCTGCATCAGAATCTTCAATGTTGATGTATAATTAACTTCATATAAGGCTGGGGTGGTTGGGCAAGGCAGCAATCCCGCAGCGTCCTAGTGGTAAACTACTTCAGAAAGCATTTTACAATATTAATGAATCCCAAAAGCCTGGTACACCTCTCCTACAAAGCAAGGCTGAGGGAGCTGGGGGTGTTCAGCCTGGAGAAGAGAAGGCTCCGGAGAGAGCTCATTGTGGCCTCTCAGTACCTAAAGCAAACTAATAACGAGGGGAGATAATGACTTTTTACAGGGGCAGACAGTGATACGACAAGGGAAATGGTTTTAAACTGAAAGAAGGCTGATTTAGATTAGATATTAGGAGGACATTTTGTGCTCAGAGGCTGGTTAGTCACTGGAACTACTGCCCAGACAAACTGGATGCCCCATCCCTGGAAGCAGTCAAGGCCATGGGGAGGCCTGGGCTGCTGAGCTGGTGGGTGACAACCAGCCCACAGCAGGGGTTGGAACTAGATGATCTCTTCCAACCCAAGACATTCTATGATTCACTGTTTCTGTAATTCTTTTATTTTCATGATACCATTGTATCTACTAAATAACTAAATAAATACAATAATGTCTAGCCTTCCTTGATATGAAGATCTTATGCTTTTGCCTAATTAAGCAACAAATATCTTCTTACTCTGGAAGACTGTATGACCTCAACAGCCCCACTTAGGAAACATCTTTGTAATTTTACAGCATCGTATACAAGTACAGATATAGTCCTCAGCAGTGCTGGCTGCTCAGCTTCACCTGCAACACAACCTCTAAATTGAGATGGAGCTTAGGAAAGGCCTACTCCAGTTTTAGCAACCTAATCGTGTTGGAAGATGTGCCCAGCCCATGGCAGAGGAGGTTGGAAATAATCTTTAAAAGTCCCTTTCAACCAAACTATTCTATGATTCTAGATTTAGGAGTCACTTAGTAGATTAGGGTAGATCAGGAAAAAATATTTTAGAAATGAGTGTAAAATCTTAATGGACACCTTGGAAGTCTGTGAAAACAGGATTCTTCCAGCAGAGGGCAATGGCAGATTGGAGTGGGTGCTGCTAAAAAAGCATTGGTCAAGAGCAAAGGGAGCAGCAAGAGGCAGGGCTGGCCCAGGATGAAGTGGTGCAAGCCAGCAAACCCCAACATAGGCAACCCTTCATATAATGTCTGCAGTTTTATGTTACAAACTGATCCCTGGTTTGTAAGTTGTTAAAAACAAAAAAGCAGCCTTCCCTGCAGTCCTGCTTCATGCATCCACGTTCTAGCATAACAAGAAGACCTCTTTTCCAGTTACCATCACCAGTACATGAACATATGCCCCATCAAGTATTACAGTTCTCACTTTAAAACCAATCATTTAGATCTCCATGCTTGATTAATGATTTTCTCTTCAGAATTGCAGTAGTGCCTCTACCAGGATCAGATCTGTAGATTAGATTAAATTACTACTAAAATTACTATTTTTAATTCTTGGTGATTTTATTAGCTAAAAGAATGTATGCATGAGTAAAAATGTGGGTGACTGTGAAGGATCATACCTTCTACTGAAGGGTGCTTGGTGACTTGAAGGACTATGGTGGTCTGGAAAGATCTGCGATATTAAAGATTTCTGTAGCACAAGATTTGTGACTCACAGGAGGACAGCAATACAGAGAAGATGAAATGACAGAGCTGTGGATCTAGACTTGACAGTGCTCTGAGTAAACTGTAAGATTGTGGTGTGCTGAGTGTAACCAACATTCTCTGTCCCTTCTTTACACATTGGTCAGATTTAACAAAAGTAGACTAAAAAGAGCAAACTGTTTCTCTTGTCTCTGGAATTACTTTCATCCCATCTGCCTACTTACCAAGAAAAGATTTATGGCTTTATTTGGCCATTGACTAGTGGCTGCCATGGGAGAAAAAGATTGCTTCCACAGCTCTTTCCAGTAAGAGTTTGCAGATAAATGATCTTATGCCCTGAAGCTTCAACTTTTTTTTTTTTTTTTTTTTTTTTTTTCATGTTTCAGCCTATCAGACTCCAGTATTTGACAGTTTCACTGTCCTTTAATGTATCAGAAACCATACTGTGAAGAGAATTCATCCTGAGTACATGACAGGTCACATCTTAATGCTTGTGATTCGTTTGCTGCTCTTTTAGATACCTATGCAATAGAGAAACGTACAATCTGATCTCTCATCTCTCTTTCCTGAAATGAGTACGCAGATAACTACATAGGAAAATGTCTGATGGAGATACAGTTTCTGACACTCATCACTGTGAATACAAATGAACCAGAGGTGACACTGTGAGCCAGAGATATATTGGGTGGACAGCCAGCAGAACTATACTCCTGGCCACATGTTAGGCACCATGGGATAGCTCACCATGCAGGTCCCCCTGGGCTTTACTATCTATAAAACATGCCTTTAGTTAGGATCCTTCTTATCTTTTTCTTTTGGAGGTGGTAGCAGCAGCACTGGTCTGGTTTGGTCTGTAAAATAAGGATGGCATTTAGTTCTTTCCTTTTTCTATGATGTTTTCAAGTCAACTTTTACTAATGATTTGTATAATCAGTATTTTCATAACTGTAGGGTTGTTTTTGTTTTTGGGCTTACAGCTATTTCCAAAGCTCTCAAACACCAACTTTTGAAAAACCGTTTTTGAATTAATTTCTTTATTTACTTCTGAATAATCACAGTGTTAGATCTTTTACTTTATTCAGCTTAGCAGGTAAGGAAAAAAAAAAAAACAACATCTACAAACTACAACACATCCTTTGTCATAAAGTATTTTCAGTTCCTTAGTAGCTTACCCAACATTACCCAAATACCTTCTGACATTGTTTCCTCTGCTAAAACTCAACACTAAGGAAAGAAAGGGGAAAAGACTGGTGGCTTTGTTCTGGTGTGGGTGATAGACATAGCATGCACTCAGCAGTCCCAGGAAATGAAAGGCTCGACCAGAGCCCATGTTACATCTCCTTACTAAATGAAAATTCTCTGTCTTCCACTGGCATGGTGTATATACACTTTCCTGGAAAACTGGACTTGGAGCAGTTCAGAAATTCTGGGAGAAGCTGTGAAAAAATGCAGCTTAACCTAATATAGGTCTCAAACATGACCAAAAAATAGTAAAGTGAAAAAAGTGAAAAGACAGCAAATTAGGTATTTATATACTGTTTCTCTAGAAATAAAATGTGGATATTCATTCATTAACTAAAAATTAGACTTCAGCTGTTCCAAAGACATAAGTGCAGAAAAGATTTTTATTTTTTTTTAAATAATCTAGCTACAACAAGCAACTTTTTCTGTGGCACTTTTCCTCTCTACACTTTTTCTTTTGTTGTTGTTGCAGTTTGTTTGTTTGTTTTGTTTTGTTTTTAAGTAGCTGCATCAAAGCAGAAACTGCCAAAATTGTTAAATGTTTCATCTGATGATGCAATATCATTTCAGCCCTATAATCATGAGCCTGTCATCATCTCCATACTCAATTCCTGCAGTCTTTCTGTCCTTGCCTGATGAACAAAGGCAGTATCTTTCTCGGCTTTCTGTTTTTGTCATTTCTCACCACATTCAATTTCTCTATTTGCTTTTGCTTCTCTATCTTAAGTTTTAGATTTTTCCCATAGCCTGACCTACTGCTCCTTATGTTTCTATCTGAATATAATTCTTCACATTACACTTTTGCTGGTAATAACAGTATAGAATACTTTCTTAAAGCAAACAAGACTTCATGAAACTGGTTCAATTTCTGTGCAGACACGTTCATATGCAAGGGCTGTGTAGATATGAGAGATTTAAGATACATCTGATTTGACAGTATTAGGAAGCATCCTTCTCATTCTGAAGATCTGAAATTTGGAAACATTGCATCAAGCCACACAAAGATCTTGGTCTAAAAAGGGATCTAATTACATAATTGTCTGCACAGTCACCATTTAACCATTTGTGAAGACACTACTGGGAGATGAGAAGGCAACACAGATATCTTTGTGGGCAGCATTCCTCAGAGAAGGTCATTCTGATCATTCTCACATTTGACCAGACCATTTTCATCAGAGAGCTTCAATAGTTCAGCAGGAATCAAACCTTCAGTAGTATCACTATCACACAAAGTGCAATAGTCACTACTGCTGAATGACACACTTGCCATCTCCAAGGATTCCTGAAGCATAAGGCAGTCGCTCTTTCCAGGCTGTAAGTAGGAGGGATAACTCCTTCCCATGCTAGAGCTCTCAAGATTGGCTTTAATTTTTTCAGAGATTTTCAGGTCAATTGTATCATTAGCATGGTTTTGGGTTACCAGCACTGCTGGCCTGACTTCTATCTCTTCTCCTCTTACACATCTGCTGGGGACATGCTGCTGGCTTGGACCAGAGGCAAAGGCAATTATCTCTTCTTCAGCAGCCAAATTTGTGCTTTCCATAGGTTTCAAGGAAATCTGGGAAATCAGTTCTTGGATGTTTAGCTCAGAAACTTCATCTGCAGTCACTTTGTTTGAGTTGCTTGCCTCTTCTCTTTTGAGTTGGCTACAAGCCTCATTGGGTCCAACCCAGTCCTAGTGAAAGGATCAGTAAGTTCAGGACAATTTGCTCAGAGGTGGAATTTTCAAACTAACTGTTCCATCTATTTGTCTTTGGCACAATAATCCAGAGGTTTAGTGCAAATCTAATAGTGAAATGTAAGTTATGGAGTAGTGATAGAATTCAATTTTCCTGAGGGAAGATTTCATAATAAATTTTCAAGATCTCACCTCCATAGTGTGCTACATGCTTCTTCTATTCCTTTGGCTTTGCAAAGACATCAGGCACCTTTCATATTCACTACCAGAATATGGAAGATGAGAGAAGGTAAATGCATTACTGATGCATTTTGACTTTTCCTGCTTTCATTAAACAGATCTGCCCTGTCTTTTTTTTTTTTTTTTTTTTTCCCTTTTCTTTTCTCCTTTCAGATTTAGTGCCAGTTTTCAGAAGGCCTCTCAATATGGAGGGAACACCAGTGGTCAACAGGAAGACCATTTAAACATACCTTAGATATCAGAAAGGTGGAGGGGGAACGTACTGAAAGAAGGCAGCAATGTTAATTTTCTACAGGGGAGAAGCTGTTTGGTTGGGAAAGACTGCAGCTTCCTCGATCTCTCTGTTTCAAACTAACAGAGAAAATATTTGGTTCCCTGTGAGAATTTATTAAACCAGATTTATTAAACCAGAGCAACCTTTGAATGTTGTACTTGGATACCAGTGTTATCTGGTTCAACAAGGGGGAGGCTGGAGGCATCAGTTATTGGTAATATGTGGAAAGATTCTGTGGATACGAAAAAAAGGACAGATGGCAGATGGCTGAGGAATGAGTTACTGGAGGGATTTTATTCTACAAAGGCAGAAGCTAAACAGCAGCTCTGGTGGTGTAGTTAGTATTTGGAGAAAGAAAACTAGGAAACCATGAACTCCCAGGAAGACCAAAGCCATGTGCTGGTAGCACTGCTCAGGAGGTAGAACGATTAGTCCCAGAAAAAAATCAACCCTCCCCTTCACTGAAGAACATAAGAAGTAAATGAAACATCTTACCTTAAAATTCCCATTGTGCAAATTATAGAGTGGCTGAAAGAAAGCAGCTGGTGTGGGAATATTAAGGCAGGAGAGGACTTTTGCCCTGAGGTGAGAAAACAACACTTTAAAATCAAATTGTTCTGCATTGTCTTGATGGTATAGCACACTGATGAGATGAAAACCCAACACTACTGCTGGAAAGACTGCAGTAGAAGCTCATTTTACATGTTTCCTGATATCCTGTAGGCATGCAATTGTTTGTCTCTTGCACATGCATTCAACTTTTCTAGTCCATCTTCTCAAAGGTTTCTGAGGAATGCTATATATTGCAAAATCATTACTAGTTTATTACTCATTATATGCACTGAGCTACTTATGCATTTGTTTAGCATTGTTTGATCTACGCTACCTCTTCAAGCAGTATTTTAGTGTGCTAGTTTCACCAGATTTAGGAAAAGAAGTTCTGCCATATATCATTGTCCGTTTATTAGTCTATCTCATAGAAATATTTTATCGTATGGACAACATGTATTCTGTTTCTCTGAGAACAACGTGTATATGGAGCATAATAAGTGTGTGTCAAGGCAGAAAAGACTTTTGTGTTACCAGCATAAAAGAAAGAAGAGTGTGGTTGAGCCAAGGTTTTACATGCACTAATTTCTGTAGTTTGCCTATATTGATATTTTACGTATTGACTACTAGTAGGTATGTCACCAATAACTTAACCTCTATATCACTTTAACCATCCTTTAGGGACTGCTGTACACTTGCATTTCTGATTTTCCTACATGAAACAATTCAAAATGTCCATGGGTTTAAATCTTTCTAAGTCCAAGAGTCAAGCTTGTATGTGAAGAAGGTGTTTTGGTCTCCTTAATTATTAAGTAGGGAGTGATTAATTATCATTAGCCAAGGATCACGTCATGTCCTGAGATTGTCAAAAGAGCTTTTGAGCATGTTAGAATCTTATTGTGCAGCAAAAGTAGGAAGCAAAACAGATGTAAACACACTTAATTTCTCTTTGGGCTATGAAGATCAAGGAGAACTTAATGAAGTATCATAATGTACCTTGAAGAAAGCTTGCAGTTCCAAAATAAATAGAGTAGCGTGCCAAAACTCAGAGGAATGATCAAGAACTCAAATGTTCTGGTATCAAAGAGGTTTTCAGACAGTTCGGATGCACCTATGAAAAGAACATGCACAAAAAGATAAAAAGCCTGGATTTTAAGATAGATCCCCAAATAAACAATCAATGCAAATGAACCTAAAAAACAGGAATTAAGGCAAACACAACAACAATCCAACAACAACAGCAACCTGTGAAATTAAGGCAAAAAACCAACATTCTTTATACCTTCTCTTTGAAATACTGTTGTCTGGCTCCAGTCGCTCCACTGACTGTGGTATGAATCCTCAATTTCAGAAACTTTGCAGCGAACTCGTGCAATGTAAGAGATGCCACTGCGGAATTCTGTGCCTTCAATTTCTATTTGTGGTAGTGAATTGGGTGGTGTCTTGTTCTGTGCAGTCTGCAAATTATTACAAACATTTCTATTAACGAGGCAAAGGGAGGATATTTTAATAACTACTTTTTCCCCAAACCGTCTGTTCCTGGATGCAAGAAGAAAGCCTCCATGATGACAACTGATGTTAAGATTTATTGATCTCCACTGTCAGAGTTTGTATAAAGCCCTTTTATCTTTGTGTGGCAAACCAGAAAGGCTATCTTAAAGCAATCAATCAGCTGCCAGAAGGCCCTGAGCTGAGTGGCAAGGCCATTGCACAAGAAGAGCAATACTGTTGCCCACCCAGTTACCTCCCATGACGTGCTGTACTCCTTGTACTGCAACTGGTACTGGAGAATTTCATCAAGGTAGGAAGGCACAGTCCACCATATCTGACACTTGTTGGCAGTAATGTTGCTCTGGACGTTCAAAGGTGGATCAAGTTTTACTGCAAATAGAGAGGTAGGGTTTTCACAATATTTGGGACTGAAGCACCGCAGAAGGAGATGCATGTTCCTAGGCTGATCATAGTCTTGGAAGACCGAGCTGCTTCTAGTGATACTAAGTGCAACAATAGACTGAATTAGCTTTTGGAGTAGGTCAGAACCTGTAGGGAACTGGCATAAAGGGATGCTATCTCATCCCCATGGGGATACTCCTGCAAGCAAAGAGCCACTCAAGATGTCACAGTCTCTTCCAGTGTGGCACTGGTATAGAGACGCTTTGAGATTTCAAGCTCTATACCATCTGTCTGAAGTACTGTGCCATGGGATCTAGAATTAGATCCACAACTTAAATTCTTTGTGACTTCATTTCTTTGTGGCAAAACACCAAACAACTACCGTGGAAACAATCAAGTGGTACATTATCCATAGCACAAGAAAACAGGATGCAGACTAGAAAGACAATCAAAATGTATTCAGGAGCAAACACTGTCTGAAGTCCAGAAAAAGTCAAAATGGAGAGATACTGGGACTGCATCCCTACTGCTAAAGCCCAGATAGTGCACTCTGCAGGGCTATAGAGTCTGGCTTGTTCCCATTACTTTCACCTGCTTTGAGACACCCTTTTAATCAGTAAGTATATCAGATCCTTCCCAAAGGCTCCAGGCAGAGCCTCGGCCCACAACTGGTTGGTTTTTACTTACTGTGCTGGCGGGGGCTGTACTCCTGAAAGGTAATGTATGTGTGATTGCTTCCATAGAAGTTGCCTTGGAGAGAGACTCTGTAACCATCTGTTTCCAAGATCTGTCTTGCTAAGTGCATGGTGCAGCCATACTGATCCTGCATGCTGTCTCTGGCAGTCAGCTGGCAGCTGGCATTTTGACCCTTTGACCAGAGGCTAAAAAAATGGAAAGGCTGAAGGTTTCTTTTAAGTTATGTGATTAAGCACTTTACAGCTTTAAAATGCTGTACCATTAAGCATAACTATGCTATTTTTGACTTAATGTGAGGCATCAAATGTCAGGGCGGCTTACCCTCATGTAACAGTTTATTAATTACTGTTAGTCAAGACAACTTTATTACATAATCTAAAAAGGCTAATCTCAAATTAGCATGTCACAATGCTTATTATCCTATCACATCACAAATTATTCACCAGATTTCTCATCTTAGATGTAGAATTACTCACATAATAAACCTGCTACTAACGCCCTGGATGTTTCCCAATGACAGAGAGTCAAGGCTACAATGGGAGTGCTTTCTGCACTGATAGGCCCTTGCTAGCAGATAATACTGGACTAAAAGACCACCCTGAGTCTGCAGGAGACCACACAGCTGCACATGCAAGAGCTCTGCTGCACCACTTGACGTTGTGGAAAACTGAGAAGAGAGCAGCTGGGTGACTGAACTGGCGATGTCCAAAGCAAGCAAAGCCCCCAGCTGTGACCTATGTCTGCCTCTCTGTGCTGCCCTTCCCATGCCAGGGCCAGGAGAGCCACAGGCAGCTCTCAGCTTGCAGCTCTTACTTTGTGAAATACAGGTGGAAAGGTCCATCACCCACAGGCTCCTCTGGTGCCCACGTGCAGTTCACAGTAGTCACGTAGTTATTCAGGCAGCTCAGACTGCCAGGGAAATCTGCAGAAGAAGCAGACAGGAGCTGCATTCATGTTATCACCTAACGAGATCTAAAATGCATTACTTGCTAGCCCTTCCTTTAATGATGCCTTCCTCACAATATACTCCTCCTCTCTGGAACTGCGCTTCCCTGTGTGAGACGAGTGTAAGACCTTAGGGCAGAGACTCTGTGCAGTGGCTGTGCTTTCTGCTGCTCAGCTTGTCTGCTATGTGCGTGGCTTCCCAGGTCTGGCACTGCCAGCCAGCTGTACTGCTGCTCGGGAACCAGAAAAGGGCAATCATGAGATCTTATGCTCCATTCCTTAGAGTCTTCACATAAAAATGAGAGCATGTATACACACCTCCCACAGTGGACCTATTCAGAATCTCCCCTTACCTCTCCCTTGTCCTTCACCAAGGAGCAGCACAGCAGTAATGCACAGTTGAAGGCCAGTCTGCTGCACATTTCGCTCCATTCCAGACAGTATCTAAATCAGAACAATTGTTAGAAGAATTTTTTTCAGTAGTTGTACCAGCAGCTTCAGCTCCACGCTCCTGCCAGGCCAAACACAAGCTGGCAGATGCATTCATGTTTCCCTGTGTGCTGTTTCTGATGGAAACTAAAAACAGATGCTTAGAGAAACGTGTAGTGATAGAATCATAGAATCATTAAGGCTGGAAAAGACGTCTAAGATCATCTAATCCAACCATCCACCTGCCACCAGTATTGTCCTCTACAGCACTGCATGTGTCCTTTCCTTAAACATCTGCAGGCTTGGTGGCTCCACTTCCCTGGGCAGTCTGTGCCAGTGCCTGACTGCTCTTTCTGACCAGAGACAGCACTGAAACTCTTCTCTGAGAACCATCTCAGTCTCCAGATATTGCAGCTTATGGGTCTCCTGGAGCAGATATAATTTCTGCATCTTCCTGGCTTCAGTGCTTATTTTCCTCTCATGAGCAGTATTTACCTGCTGAAAGCATCTACACCATAACCACTATCTGCCCTTAATGACAGATCTTTCTTCACTTCAGGGACTCATTGATTTTCTGCCATTTCCTGATGGAAACCTCCCCTTTTTCTTCGCTAGAGGAAAGTTTCCTTGGGCTGCTGGTGTCACAAAAGTTCTGAGGGAGTCTTCCTTCAAAACACTTGAAGTTGCCTTGAGCCAGTGTGAAATGGTTTGAGGTCAGTACAAAAGCTGGGATAGAAAAAAATGTTCTAGCACAAACTTTTTTTTTTTTTTTTAAAATAAATTATTCCATTTCATATCTGAAAGAAACCAAGACCTGTCATAATTTTCTCTCTCACATGTTCAAACACATGAATACAGAAGAAGCCATCATTCCAGGCAGATAACCAAGCTGCCCACCTGCAGCAAGAGAATCTTGGCATCAGTATTTCCTTGCAATAAGTATTTCTTTGCTGCAAAAGAAAACTCCAAAAGACAGAAATTGAAAGAATAGCCAATATGTTCCTGATCAAACACTCATCTGGGATGTAGAAAACTTAGGACCTGGTCATTGCCATAATATACTGAAGGGGACTGTATTGGAATTTGAGATTTTTCTTCTGCAATATTGAACAGTCTCTCCACAAAGCTATATGGGACTCTGTCTTTCTTTTTAAATAGAAATTTCCATTCTGCGATTTCTTTCCTGATGACCTTTCCATTTGAAGATATTCCAGCAAACAAAAGTTTAATATGAAGAATCCTGACCCAATGTACTCGTGGCACATTTGGGAGATGCTTCCAACTTGCAATGTTTGCCGCTACCTTCATGCTGCAAGAAAGGTCAGCACCTCTGCAGACAGCATGCTGCTCTAAGGAGCCCATAAAACAAAAAACACAGAGTGAGAGCATAAACCAAGACCACTTCTGAGCTTACCCTGAAGCTGTTATTTGGAAAATTCAAAAATAAGAGGAGAATGTTGTTTGCATGGCTTCCCCAGTGCAGGTACAGAACTGAGCTCTGGGGTAAGAGGAGGCTGTGAGTATGTCCTGTCTTGAAAGGGCATGGTTGACTTATTGCGGGGGAGGAGGAGGGAATGCCACCTCTATGAACTTTCAGAAGCAGCTGGAGGAAAGAGAGAGATACACAACAGGATAGAGGAAACTCTGAGCATAGCACTGTCAAAAAACCAAGTGAGCTTAAGCAGGCTATGGAATGAGTGTGGTTTCTAATCAGCAAGAGCTCTGGAGTGGTCTTGAATGGGACTGAGAAAAAGTCTATACTTAGGAAGGACTGTGATGTTTCAATCAGCAGGATTGCTTTATTGAAGGTATTATATGATCAGATAAGTACAGAAGCAGGAGCTGGACTCTATGATCAAAAGCATCCTTCCACTCCCAGATGTCACACAACTAAGCAGCACTCCTATAGCAAACTCCTTCTATGATTAGATTTGCTTACAGCATAGCTTTTCTGAATTAAGTAGGAAAATGATTAGAATGTCTCAGAAATTGATCAAAGGAGAAAAAATCTTTTTGGTTTCCAATTCACCATGTCTTCATTTATGGGTTTTTGGTAGACATCCTGTTTTGCTACAGACCTTCTTCAAAGTGGGCGTTGCATAGAGGAAGCGCCACTGCTAGCTGAGTTTAGCTGGGGGAGGTGGGAGGCACGACATCTCTCCTGCTTATCATTCTGATCAGAGTTGCATATGATCCCTGTGATAAGTACAGTAAGGCTGACTAAATCTGAAATAGACAGAGATGTGTAAGCACATGCACAAATAGAGTTATACATATTCTTATACTTGCCCAGGCACACAAAGAACGTCAAAATAACTACACAAGGTAATCACCTATTTCCAGATAAATGTAGCTAATTTGTTAATCCTTTCCCTCCCTCTGAACCTCTCAAAAATTCTTTGTTCAGTTCTTCAATGTCTGAAGTGCACCAGACATTTACAGTCTCTCTTTCTCACCTGGAAACAAATACAGTGTTGTTTAAATGCTGATCTGTGTGGTCCAAGTCACATGAATGTTTGTTGTAGTGGGGTAATGGAAAGCTAAATTCTGAAAAGTTTAGAAGAAAATGATTTTGGGCAAGCAGCAGATAACCAGCTGAGCCACAGCCTGCAGTGCGCTGACACAATTACAAGAACCAGCACAGATCTTGGATGTGTATCAATTAAAAGAAGTGCTATTGCAACTACTTTTAGCATTTGTAATGCCATTATTAGTTCTTCCCTTGAGATCCACGCTTTGAATAAGATGTTACTGAAAAGATTAAAATGGTTCTGATAAGAGCTGTAAGAATGATTTAATCTTTGATATCTTTCGTCTGAGATAAACAACTGAGAGATCAAGTCATCTCTTAGACCTAACCAAAGGAAAGGCTAAGAAGCAATTTTATGCCAGCTAGAATTATCTGTACAGGAAGAGTACTTCAGATAGGAGAAAAGTTGCTTTTTAAATTCTGATAGAGAAAGATGAAGAGAGTCCAGTAGTTATGAGCTGAAGATAGATAAGGTATCTTCATTTCTAAAGGGCAGAAGGTGAACAGAGGAGAACCACATTTCTTACCAAAACCTCTTACCTAAGCATACATTCTAACACTTGCAGCCTATAAAACTTGGTTAGGTATCTAGAAAATAAAATAAATTCCTTTGCTCAGATGGAAGTCACAAGATTGATACAGGACTTCTTAGTTACAGCTCTCTATCCTAAAGTTGTCACAATGAACTTTCCTCTGAACACCTGCAATCCTCCACCTTGCAGAGGTAAACCTGCTGTATGTCCAATCAGCTGGTTCACAAACAGGTGATGTCACTTCTCAGCAATTGTCAAGCACTTCCCTCGTGCAGAAAGGCAATAATGGTACAAGTATTAGCATTTGGGGGAACTGCTAATTGCAGAGACATCATGAGGCTGAGCTCTGTCTGCTTAACATTACAACGAGATTTGTTTTGCAAAAAGCAACTGTATCTTTTCCTAGTATCCTAGATATACTCCAGTGCCTTTTCTCATTGTTCAAATCTGCTTTGCTTCCCACCTGCTTCAAATTACTCAGCTGTGGAAAGTGAATTGTCACATCACCCAGAGGCCGATGACAGCCCAGCCTGCACACAGATAAACTGTTCTGCTAAGGTCCAGAAGAAAATGCCTGCTTCGGTAATGTTTTCTTCTTCTGTTGGTCAGAATGAAGATTTTTATAGGCCAAATAGCAAAGTGGATGCATATGGCTAATTAAAGCCTCAGTTCTCTTTGGCAACAGACAGCCACAGAGGGAGCAAAAATGAAATAAGCGCAAAAGCCTTTTCAATTTCAGTGAGAATGGAGCAAAGGGATTCTCAATGGCATGGTGGGCATTTGTCATTGCTACCAGTGACCATCATCTCAGAACACTGCCAATTCTTTTCACAGCAGCAGGAGAACAAGAACCTAATAATCAAGCCAAGAAGCAAGCAGAAGCTAACAAGATGTCAACACTGGTGACCTTGGGTTCCCAATGATCTCAGCTGGTTGCAATAGTATTTCCATCCTTTCTTTATGTTTCCTGGGCAGAGTTCTCTTGCCTACTGTCTGCTCAAGAAAATAAGGCTTTGCAGCTGTGCCTTTTCCATACCTTCCTGTAGTTCTATTTCCAAAATCCATTTCAAACAGAATTTTTACAAAACACAGATTTCCCAAATGCCCATCAACAGAAGAACAGTTGCTCAGCTGTTGTTGCCAAATCTCTTCACATTAACAGAAATCCATATTCAAAGTTTAGTCTCACTCTCACATTTGAGGTCCAGTACAACACAAAATAAAAAGTTAGTTTTGCTTTTTAGAATGTATAGGGTAAAATAAATGTACTGATAGATAAGGCAATTAATACATGGTGACAGCACAGTCTCAGCACATGGGCAGCCTAGATGTTCTCTGGTTGGAAGAAACTCAGCAGAGCTGTCAGGAGAGACTAAAAAAATGAAACTGAGGTAGCTCAGAAGAGAATTATAGGCACCAGCGTGTAAGCAATAGCATGGCAGAAATTAATGCAGGGCTGATTTGATGAACTAATTGGAGCTGGAGGCTAATATGGAGTTGACTTCTTGATATGAAAGTGAGAGTTTACAAGAGGAAAAGAAGAAGCTGTCAGGGACTGTAAAGATGTGGACAAGAAGGTTATTTTTGATGTGACAGAGACAGGGAGAAAAGTAATAGAGTAAAAGTAACAGAAAAATCCTGTAAGAAACCCTTTAAGAAAAAAATGGTGATACGTTATCTACCTACAGAATAGCTAGATCTCTGAATGTGTCCAACAGAAATGTGTAAAGCGCATGTAGCTCACTCACATGATCAGCCTGTGAGTGTGTGAACTGATAGAGCATAAGAAAGTAGAAGGATTTCCCTGTCCAACCTCAAATAACCAATCTTTTGCTGCCTTCATCTTTGGAGAGCCATTTTTCCATAACTTGGTGCACAGAAAGAGCTATGAACTGTTGGCTTTGACTGACTTGCACCCCGTCAGCTGAGAAAAGTTTCTA